GCTAAACATGTGTTTATTTCCAAATATAGCCAAAACACGATGTTTCACTCTAGATGGCAACAGATCTTTTTACACGAATTTGTTTCTCTTGTGTGGTTGAGAGCAAAGGGCTACAATTGTTGTAATGCTAATTTTTCTACCCTTTCGTATATTCCCAAACAGGTGAGCAATTCAGATCCAGCTGTCTGTTATTGTGGGTTGGAGAAAGGTATTTCCAATGAGAAGTGCAGATTTTGTTCCAGTGATGTACGAACCAAAATTGAGTTAAGTGTTCAGAGAGGGAAGAACTTAATTTAGACAGTAGTTGTTTGTACCAAGTGTTTCAGTAAAATGACATGCACAAAACACTCAAATCATGGTCTTCACCATTTTTGAGCTGCAAGAAGAACAAAGCATAGTGCCTAAGGTACAAGCTTTGGGTTATATTGGCCATTCAATATTTTGTGGTAATATAAACCTGAACAAGTGATTTAAATCGTGGAATACAAAAGGTCACTGGGGTTGAAGTTGTCTGGGCATCGTGTGGTTTGTCCTGAACTTGTACAAAAAAAACAGACCAAAATTAAGATGTTTTTAAAGGGATAAAATGAAAATAATGGAGAAGTGTTCTCAAGTCGAAATACTCAGAAAAGAATTTTTTGAGCCCCCAAAGGGATTTGAACCCATGACCTTCCAGAAATACCGGTCAGATGTTATAACCACTGAGCTATGGAAGACTTGTGGTGAGCAAGGTCATAAAATGACCAAGGGATAAAATTACTCCAGGTCTTTTATTTAATTTCACCCCCTTCCCATCTCCCTTTCAACTACAAATTTATATGCACAGCCTTTGAATACTAGAACTATATGAAATGCTTATAAAGTCATTGAAGCCCTGTAACCTGAGGTGCTGTACCTAAAACAATAAGGTTCGACCATGGTGTGATTTGCAGAACGAACATTATAGTGCTTTATGCCTTTGGATTGGCAAGTGAAGCAGTGCAGCCTGTCAATCAGATGTCGTGTCATGTCCTGTATGATACAGGAAACTCTGTTGTACAGTGTATGGTGCCATGGGATTTGTCATACTTCATTCAAATCTACCAAACCAAACTGATTCATATGCTGTACGACTGTCTTACCACTTGGTTCTTAAAAGGTACAGCAGCTCTGGCTCGATCTGGCTTTTTTATATGCTTTGTTGGTGGCCCTTATTAAAAACATCAACTGGTGATCTCCTTGGTTACAGTGAATTTGAATTTAGAGGATATGTACTTTTTGCTTTCACCCTTTGTATGTTTTAACAGCTGAGTGAAAGCATTAAATGGATATAATCATTGTGAGATTATCTAACAGTGGAAGTTTTTTTCAATCTCATAGGGCAGGGGAAAAAGTTTGAAACCCAGTTGTCCAGTGGGCCAGTACATTTCAGTTTTTAGTTGCCCACTCTAAATTATTAGTTAACCAGTAGGCATGTAATGTTTCATACCTGAACAACTACATCATTTACCAGGTAGTGTCTCAGTCTATAATCAACTATTTATTCATTAATAGTATGCTTGGACTTTAACTTACAATGTAATCCATGCTTTCAACTCATTATTTTGCTCATCTTGGTTTTGATTGGCAATTATCACTAACAAAACTACTGAGGCTAATTTTACTTGCCCACTGAACAACCAAACTTCCATTTTCACTTGCTCAAGAGCAAAAATTA